TCCTCATTATGCTCGGTGTTGGTGATGTCAGTTTGTAGCTGCCGGGAGTGCAGCATGCCCTGTAGGAATGTTTCAAGAGTCTGTATGGCAAGAGGCACCGGGGGCTTGAGGTTGAGCTGCTCCCAATCTGCTGATTGGGGCAGTGACTGATATGGGCTGGCTGCTTGGTCAGAGCTCTAAGATGTCGTGTGGCCAACTTGTAGACTTTACCACCGCCCTTGGCAGTGAATCCTACCACAGGGAGGGAGTGCATAATGCTAGTGTATATGCACGCTTGCCAAAGGCGAGCACGGTGTTGGGTGCTGAGGAGATGACGGCCATTGAGCGCCTTCATTCTTGATGTCAAGATGCTTCAAGTGGCCTGAGGTGACATGCTGGTTCACATTGAGGTTATGTCGGCCGTGGCAGCAGAAGCCGACCCCAAATACACGTGATGAGGCTTGATTGGCACCCCCTTCTCCTGCCCATGTACAGTAACCCTGAGGAATTCGACCCCGGCCCGCTCATAAGTGAGTTCTTTCATCAGAGCTTTGGCCTGGCGACCCTCAAGCCGCAGCATGATGGCTGTTTTTTTGTAGTTGACTTCCAAGCAGAAGTCCTCGAGGACCTCAAGCACGAGCTCGACATCCTTGATCGCCTGATGCAAGTCTTGCTCCGAACGGATGACCCAATTCGTCCAATGGTCATCTGCGAAGAGGGTACATACACGCAACGGCCACTCTAACGATCGGCATGCAATGAGCCGCTGCATGATGGCGATGGAGAAGAAGCTCCAAAGATATGGCGCGGCTTTACATCCTTGTTTAATGCCGTTTCTTGTAACCATGGAACCTGTCACATCCCCGACGCGGAACCGATACTGTGCATTCTGATGGAGGCGTTGGAGAATGGTAATTGTGGCGGGCTCAACCCATTATCGGCAAGAGAAGCATACAGCTTAGGGCGATTGACCTGATACCAGGCTAATTAGGTGTAACCTGTCTCTGACTGGCTAGCTCGGAGTCTCGCGCGCCTGTATGCACGCTTGTGCACCATGAGCAGTCTGGATGGCGGGGGCTCTCCGGGCGTTGCACCAAGTATAGCTTCCCTGCCGAGGCAGGTTCAGCATCACGCTTGGCACATGATGCAACCCTCGCCCCATCTATCCCCTGTACTTGAAGCAACATTAGCATGAGTGAGGGATAGAAACCGGATTTGGGACCGGCTCGGCCCGAGCTTGCTGCAGTATGTGTAGACTCGCACCGGGGGAAACGTGGTGGCCTACTCGGGGGAGATCGGGTATAACCGGCTTTATGTGGGGGGTGACTAAGCTTATGTGAGGCGTCTGCATGGCGCTGCTCAGCGTGGCAGCTCTGCTTGGCAGCATGCTTGCTGCTCCTGTTGTGGCAAGTAGACTGCCAGGTGTGTTGGGCAGGGCAACTACAGTAGGGAAGGGACTTAGGGCCTTAGGGAGACAAAACAGGAGGCATATTAAGGAGGGAACAGAGGGCCTACTGAACCAACCATTGCGGAATAAAAAGCGTGGCCTGCGCGAAGCCAGGTCCCAGCCGTCACTCTGCAAGGAAGGCTCAATCCCGGGATCTGCTCCGGTCATGTCGTCTTGGCGGCCGTTGTTCATGGGTGGCACGGGAACTCATAGTCTCGCCATCTTTCAGCCCTAGGTCCGGTGAGGCGGAGTCTGGCCCACTCCTGGACCCTTGGCCAGGCCTCTGGGGCCACGACGCTTGGCTGCGCCAACCTGTCCTGCGAGGGACCGCGATGTGAGGTCAATCCAGGTGATATTGGCCATATGAATTCCTTGGCGTCTGCCAGGCTGGGTCTACAGAGACGTGTCGGAGAACTCGAGGTCGTCGGAATCGCCTTGATCGTGGGATGGACGGCTCTACCAGAAGAAGAGTCAGAGCTGTCGTCATCTGTGGAGCTGGAGCTGGATGAGGCTTCAAAGCGACCGGATGGGAGAGGGGGCCCCGCCACTCGGGCGAGGCGGCGTGCACCATGGTGGTCCCTTTGGTGGGCCAGCACCAAAAGGAGGCCGAGGAGGAGCACCGGCACGATGGTCCCACGGAGTGAGTTCCTCGTTGTCTTCATAGTCAGAGCTGGCTGCCGCATCATCGTCATGGCTCATATGCAAGGTTTCACCGAAATGCCCAAGCAAGAGCCCCAACCCCAACAAGAAACACCCGCAAAGCACAGAGGGCCCTCTCACAACACAGCTCGGGCCGTGGGGCTTGCCTTAACCCATCGTCGTCATCATCGTCATCATCAACGAAAATGGCAGTTGCAGAAGATGCAGGGGCTCAGGGCTTCTATTTGTGACAGCTGCAGAAGTCACCGATGCTCACTTGCCTTAACTGTCACAGATGCAGGGGCTGAGGCTCCCTATCTGTCGCAGTTGCAGAAGTTCCCGAGGCTCATTAGTTAAGATGTAGGCTTCTTGTAAAGCTCATCTTCCGCTCAGCCTTTCAAGCATTACTTTTTGCAAGCCGAACTGTGCATCAGACAGGACATCGTACATGAGCCGATCCAGGGAAAGGGGGATTGCAGCCATGGTGAATCGCATTTCGCTGAAACATCATTCCTCCACGAACCAAGATTTCGACTTGGTAGCGGAGCACTCAGGGTGCTCACGCTGGTTCGCTCCTTGCCGTTGCTTCTTGAATGCAGCTCTTTCTTTCGCAGTCTTTTCGGTCACATGTTACTTGGAGGGCAACGGGATTCCTGAGCTGGGAGTTTCATCTGGTGAGGGGCACAACTACAGGCACGATGTCTTGAAGCATGACAATGAATCCAAGAACGCAATGCATGATCAGTTCGGCCGATGTAGAAAGAGACTTTCCTGTGCAAGATGTGTTGAACAGATTCATCAGAAGCCTTGACGAGCTTGACGATCAAGTTGGAGGACACGAGTTGATGGACAGCACACACCGGCAAGGGGAGTTTTAGATCGGAGGACCGAGGCAAGTTTGTCACCGATGCTGTGATGCACGGCCGTCTGTCTGGTCTGAGATTGCCTCATGGGTCACGACGACAGGACGAATCACCGGATGTGGGCGCGAACGCTGGTGCACACATACGCACGACGATTGAGCCGTATCGTGATGATGACGGCTTTCCGAACAACCCTGTAAGCCAAGGGCATTATCAGTCGCGATGCCTTGCGAACGCCAGCGCAGGCTGGCGAATGGCACGTTTCACATCAACCAGAAATTCATGTACAGAGGTCTGGTAAAGTATGAGGTCTGGAGAGCAGCAGAACGACAACTAGAAAGTCTAAGCATAGACAACCCGAGAATAGATGTAGGCAAACCTATTTGTCCGCCTGCAGGTACCTTCGGTGTGTTGGTTTGTACGTTCACAATCTGCGGCTTTTCCAAGCCTCGAGGCCAATCATGCATTGCAGTATTTAATTGGAGATCCCTCTAAAGCTCATCTTCCGTTCAGCCTTTCAAGCATTACTTTTGCAAGCCGAACTGTGCATCAGACAGGACATCGTACATGGGAAAAGGGCATTGCAGCCATGGTGAATCGCATTTGGCTGAAACATCATTCCTCCGCGAACCAAGATTTCGACTTCACTTGCCTCAACTGACACTGCCGGTGAAGTTGCAGAGGCTCAAGCCCCAAAGAGCGACAGCAACTGGAGTTGCAAACTCGACGGGGAAGAAGCTGCCAAACCACAGGTGGTCGGATAGTGCGAACGCGCTGTAAATACCGTGCAGCATGCAGGTGCTGCCAAGAAGGTTTAAACACTCCCAAAACCTGGAGCGCAACATCTTTTAAGCATCAAAAACAAAGATGCCAGTTATACCTGGGAGGGGCTCGCCAAAACCCTTAAAGCCCAGACCTCAACGTAGGAGGGTTTGTCATTGAAGTGGTGTGTGGTATTGGAGAAGCTGCCTGTGCGTCATCATGCCCCCCCACCCCCCCGGAAGCAACAATGCTGCTAATGAACGGTTATTAGCAATGGACTACGACATGACCAAAGTACTTTACATACCGCGTGCAAAACAAGCTTCCCCCAACCAGTTTCGAATTTTCACCGAAAGTTCGCAAGCCCAATGTCGAGTTCGCAAAGTCCAGAATATGTTCAGTGATTATATGAGATGGTCCGACATCACGAAAGTACTGTAAACCCGAGAAAACGGCTTTTCTGGAGATGTCGTTCGGGGTGTCTGCTTAACAATGTCGTCATCCACGCTCTCCCCCGACCCCTCCCCAAAAAATGCAAGTCCAGAATCGGAAGCTCGAGTTTGCAAACTCGCAAGTGAATTTTGAAGCGTCATAAGATGTTCCTACATGACGAAAGTGCTGTAAATACCGAGCAAAACGGATGTGTGCGAGAAGAGTATGTTGGTAGGGGTGGTTGGTAGGGCGGGGGGGCTGCTACTATTACTACTACTACTACTACTACTACTACTACTACTACTACTACTACGACTACGACTACTACTACTACTACTACTACTACTACTACTACTACTACTACTTTTTCTTCTTCTTCTACTACTACTACTACTACCACTACTACTACTACTACTACTACTACTACTACTACTACTACTACGACCACGACCGCGACCGCGACCGCGACTACGACTACGACTACGACTACGGCTACGACTACGACTACGACTACGACGACGACTACTGCTACTACTACTACTACTACTACTACAACGACTACGACGACGACGACGACGACGACTACTACTACTACTACTACTACTACTACGGCACTCCTACAGCTACTGCTACTGCTTCTGCTACTGGCACGGCTACTGCTGCTGCTACTGCAACCGCGACCGCAGTCGAATGAATGACTGCGAGTGCGAGTGCGAGTCCGATCACGACTACTACTGTTCCTGCTACTATTCCTGCTACTGCTCCTGCAACTGCTTGTCGCAAAACCAGTACTGTAGCTCACAGTTGTGGTTGGCAGTTTCGTGTGAATACCCCGAAGCATGTTTCACACTCTTTGATGTTTGACTCTGATTGGCCAGGAGTGGCAAAGTTGCCGGCGCCGTGGGGCGAGGCCATCATTTGGAATTGGTTGGATTGAGGGTGCCTGGGGTAGGTAGGACGTGTATGTCTTGTATTCTTCAGGTTTGTACCCAACCGGAAACGTTGATTCCTGCTGCAAGGGGCCGCCACTCGAGGCTGCTGAAGACGAAGCAGCTGAGCCAGTTGAAGCAGCTGAGCCAGTTGAAGCAGCTGAATAGGTGCCGTGAGTGATATTGTGAGTATCTCCCACACCCTTGAGCCTTCTTGATAGTGCTTGGTCGTCGTTCTTCTCCGGGACCCCCTTTTGGAGGGCTTCTCTTGGGGTCTGGCCTTTGGTTGCCGTAGATCGCTAGGCAGGAACCGTCGCTTGCAGCCGAAAAGGTCAAGTGAGCCGATCTCAGCCACGTCCACTCTCCACCCGCTTCCGCTTGTCATGTGGCACACATGGAGATCCGATGGCAGGCCATGGCTCAAGTTACGGCCTAGGCGCGATGCGCCTGCAGATAATTCTTCTGCTATTCTCGGCAAGGATTGTCGTCGGCGTGACGACATGCCTGCCAGATGCGATACCAGAGGCGGATAGACAGAATGTGGTAGTAGATGGGGAGTCGATGCCTCTTGGCATCTGGACTTCCAACTTTGATTCGTCCACGATCGTGAGCAAGATCTACGAAATCATTGCGCAAGATTCTGGGCATAAAAAGATGCAAGTTCGTACTCCGTCTTGGACATGCTAGCATCCGCAGTTGCAAGGCCGCAAGGCTATGCGCAGTGTTGATCAGGAGCGGCTGGGCTACAACACGTTGATGGACTTCGGAAGTGCCAGCAAAATACAGGCTCGATGATGGGATAAGTGTGAGAGCGGTAGGCTTCGCTGACCGCTGACATTACACACACACACAGACATACGTGCTTCTGTGCGAGCCATATACCTGTTTGCAGCTAGGTCTTTAAGCTTGCCGGGTGCGATCATGATCCGATTGAAATGACGAGCCTGGGGAATTGTGGTCCTCCTCGTCGCGGCTTGGCAATTGATCAGCGGCATGCCGGGCTTTTGCTTGCAAATCCATACAAAGTTGTTGTGATGAAGCAAAAGAGAGGCAAGCCGCCCACCCACAGCAGTGCAGGCAATGTAGCAGCCGCAGAGGATGAAAAAGGTTGATCCAACACGGGACAAGAGGCCCACCATAGAATCCTGTTCCAGTGCCTGCTGCCGATCAGGTACTGTCGGATGTGCACGGATAGCATAGAAAGCCTTTGCTCGTCACGGCTCTTTCAGTCGCAGATTCGTGGTGCGACCAAATGCGTTTTGTTGAACGTGTGAAGGAGACTTGTAGATTTGGACGGCAACACTTGCCTGTACTGAAATTGAATACCCAAACCTGGTTTTGGGCCTTTGAGCTACAGTGAGAGCAAGGAAGGGGCATGGGGGGAGTGCAGAGATTATGATCTGGAAAGAGATTCCGGGCCATGGGGGAGGGCGGGAAGGTGGTTTGAGTGACATCCAGTCATGTGTCCCCCCCTGCTTGCGAGCCAGGTTGAGGGTGCAGCTCCAAACGCTATACAGCCCCCAACACTCGTGCGCATGGTGCGCGGACCACACTCAATACTCCCCAAGCTTGGTGGAAGCCCATATCTTTGATCTGTCAGTCTGTTGCTCTCTTCGTTGGCTGAGGTTACCACATCTCCCTGGAGTTCTGGTATGCTAGCTCGCCCAGCGCTTAGATCAGGGGGTTGGATGCCTTCGATGCCTTCAGTCGCCCCTCCGCGCAGGCCTTGGTGGAGCTCCTGGGCAGCAGAGATGGGCGACTACACGCCAGTGAACCTCGGGAGCCGCTCCGCCGCCTCTGATCGGTAGAACTGCAACAAACCTTGAGTTTTGGCGAGGCAAAAGAAACACGACCGAGGCATCGGCTACCCTGGCAAGGAAGGGATGTTCATCTTGGACCAGGCTGTGCAGAAAGCCTTGACAGAAAGAGGTCTCGCGCTCCCCGGCAAGGACATATGAAGTCCATAGCTCTGGCACGGAGCACTCGAAGCATGTAGCTTGCCGGAGGCTGGAATACTACCGCTCCTACAACGCCACATGGTACAATCCCGCTCTGTATGCCTCAGTGGTTGCAGACGTGAGCCTGAACCAGCTGCAGACTTGTGGTGACAGCGTGGAGGCCAGGCGGCCAGGCTTTTTACTTCTGGGCTTTGCCCGTTGCAGTCACAGCGCGATTCACCCGAACCTCGCGTGGCCTGAGCAAAGCAAACGTCAAGCGCAACAGATCGGCGTATGCAAGCTTAGAAGGGGTGTGTGCACTGCCTGTCATCAGGGCTACTTTCCGGACATTGCTACAGTGTACCTCGGTGCAACTGGCGACGTGAGTGCCCCAGACGGCTCGAACGCGTGTATGGACTGCAACAGATCTCTTTCTTCCAGCTTCACTTGCGACCCTGTCTTTGAGGTCGATGGCGTGGAGGAGGTAAACGGCAAAACGGTGCTCAAGTGCTGGCAGGATAAGTGGTGGCCAGCACCTGCTTGCCGTCACAATATCTCTGGTTGCGTCACAGTGATCTCCGGTGGCCCGGGATGGGGATGGCCTGCTCCTTGACACCATCTCAACTGTGCTGCACTGCTCTCTCTGCTTGTGGCTGCATCCAGATGCTCTTGCGGTCTTGCTCAGTGAGTGCCCTTCTGAGGAGATGATCCAACAAGCATTCTTCCACAACATGCCTCTGGCTTTTGCCACGGCACAGAAAGAGCCCGTCGACTATTACATCCCCCTGAATCGTCAATTGCAAAGCTTGCTGTACTGGTGGACGCCCGATACCAAGTTCACACTGGACAATCCTTCGCAGGTCATCTTTCCACCCAACAGCCCCTCGGAGTATGCGAACCAGATCTTCAAGACCCAGCGGGAGAATGTTGACTTGACCAACTGGGCAGCTGCTGGCCGCAAAAGCCCGCTAAAGTATTAAAGTTAAAGTCCGCTTTTCTGCCTTCCTCCTCTTGCGTCAAAGAGTTGCTGCAAGCACCAGGCTGTTGGTGTGGAAGCCATCGCAGATCGGGCGGTAGCGGTTGCAAGGAACCTCTTCATCGCCGACGACGAGCTTTCTTCGATTCTCGTGCAGCACCTCTCCGCCACGCCTCCCGATCCCTGGCAGACGGCTTGCAACTGGCTGAAAGCAAATTCGGCCGTGTGGATGGCTTGGCTGCCGAACGAGACAGCATGCACTGCTGGAAAGGGACTAGTAGATTCCCTGGGTGAGCTGGCCCCCTCCTCAGCATAGCAAAGCTACGTCGGAGGCCTCAGCGATCCTCCAGACGCCAGTGAAACTGAATACTTTCAGGTGGTGGATCGATCGCTGGCGGTCAGCTGCCAGGCCCGCAGCTTCATGGAAGCTGACATTGCTTTTCTTCCTCGAAGTATGATTAATGATGTGCAATGAGTTGAGCACCCCAGCAGTGCAGCAGTGAGCAGGGAGCATTGTAGTACCCGTGTTCCCTGCATGTCGGCATGTTGAGGTTTGCCCAGTGGGAACAAGCTCAATGGAGCAGGGCTCCACACGGGTGTGCCTGCCGTGTGCAGAAGGCCACAGCTCATGGTCCTTAGAACCAGGGGTCTTGCCAATGGGAATTGTGCATTGAAGTAGATTCGAAAGCATGCCCCAAAATGGGTCTGAGCTCTTTCTCGAAAGCGGGTAGTAATTCGCCTTGCCAGGCACCTTCCAGAATTTGCCTGGCGAGTCCACCTGCATTCCCTGCGAGCTCGGGAGGTTCGCCGACGCGACTGGTGCCGGAGAGTGTAGCGTATGTGACCTGGGTGGATATGCCAACGACACAGGTATGACTGCCTGCTTCAAGTGTGGCGCAAACACCACTCAGATGGATCAATGGACGACCAGCAAAGCGGTGATGAATCAGGAAAGGATAACATGGATTCCAGTCCAGGGGGCAGTCTCAGAGTCCTATTGTGGATGCGTGGAGGGGACATACTACCACGATGGGCTTTGCCGGCCCTGTGACGAGGGATCCATCTGCAGTGGATCGAGCCGAATCGAGCTGCTTCCAGGACTGGCGGTCGCGTTGAGAGTGTGGCACGGCTCAAGCACAACATTCTGCTGCGTCAGCACCGATAACACGTTCATGATGCTCTCTGCTAGGCCTCGACAGTTTCTGGGGGCTTCGGGTGAGTGGGTCTCGGTATGTTTCGGTTGCCCATGAGAGTTAGACAGTTGTTGGAATGCATATCACGGGCAGTGGTTTTGAATCGCTGACCGACTGGCAATGTGGAGGTTGATCGAGTCTGATCCCTCCCACACCAGATCTTCATGGTTGTGAATCCTGCCTCTGCAGCTCTACGCCCAGATCTGTCTACAGCGCATGTAGTCGGAAGCAGCGTGCAATTCAGCACGAGTAATGTCCTGCTGCAGTTAGCGGACGAGTGATGATATTGAGAACAGGACTCGTACATGCTGTGCCAAACATGAGCTTTCCCTAATGCGGCAGCAAAGCATCGGCATGTGGTTCTTTGATAGAACTTTCCGATGATGCTAATGTCGACTCGTCGACCATGCGTCGGCCTCCTCCTGCTCCTCCTCCGCCTCCTCCACATCTCCCTCCTCCTCATCATCATCCTAGTCACTCTAGTCATCATCGTCATCAGCATAACCAGAATCACTGCCTTTATCTCATTCGCATGGTCAGCAGCGGCGCTATCGCTCATTTGTCGTTACAGACGCCATGATGATGACGACGATGATGATGGTGAAGCTCATAATCAGCAGCAGCAGCAGAGTCAGCAAGCACAAAGTCATCAGCGACAGCGACACGTCCGGTTCCCTAGGACATCGAGCAACTGAATGTGGTCAGCAGCGAAGATGCCTCAACACAACTGAAGCCCGAAGGATATTTTTCGGCACTGGAAGATCCTGGATCGATCTATCGGTGCTTTGGACAGCCGGAGCGCTGCCCGGGCGGACCTCCTGGTACCTGCGCTTCAGGCCGTGACACCAGCAGCATCGCCTGTAGCAGCTGTTTGCCTGGACTACATGCCAAGGAGCCCGAAAGTCATTCACTGTTGTTCTCGGGTGTGGTGCTGTCTGCGAGTGTTGTTTTTCATGTCCTGCTAGACGTCGTCGATGTCACGGCCAGTATTGTCGAAACTCGACTTTGCTGCGTGGTTTCTTCGTGGATTTGTTCAGCGTCGCGGCTCTCTGCATAGCTGTC